GCAGCAGCAGCAGCAGCAGCAGCAGCGGGCTGTCCTGCCTCAATAGCGCATCTGAGGCCATGTTTCTACAGAGTATTCGTAGTTGCATAGAGATGAGCAGTCGCAGCCCCAAAGGGCGGAGCAGACACAGGGTTCCGCTGAGCAGCAGCAGCGGCCGCTGCGGCTGCTGCTGCAGCAGCTGCCGCTGCTGCTCCCCCCCCCTGCGTCAGGCGCCTCCGCAGCAGGCGGAATCTGCTGCTCAGCTGCAGAAACTTTATATTCGCTTGCTGCGCCCCGTGGGGCGCTGCGTGCTGCAGCAGCAGGAAGGGAGCCTCATTGTGGCTGTCTGTCTTGTTGTGTTGCTGCTGGTTGTTCAGGGCCGCCCTTTGCACTTCAGTACGCAGTGGGAGCTGCAGCAGCAGCAGCAAGGTCGACAGGAACGACGACGGCAGCAGCAGCAGCAGCAGCAGCAGCAGTAGTAGCAGCAGTAGCAATGCCAGTAACATCAGCAACTGCCCGACAGCAGCGTTTGCCCTCCACCCAAGACTTCGAGGGCCTCTAGCGACAGTCCAGCGCAGCGACGCAGCGGGAGTCCCGCAAAGGGAGCAGCAGCGGCAGCAGCAGCAGCAGCAGCAGTAGCAGGAGTAGCGGTAGCAGCAGCAGAGGCAGCAGCAGCGAAGGCAGCTACCCGCAGCTGTTCAAGTGCCACTTGCCCAAGAGTAACTACAAGAGCATTAGAAGCCGCAGCCGCAGCAGCAGCAGCAGCAGCAGTAGCAGTCGCGCAACTTCAGTACGCACGTCACGCTTGCCAGTATGAGTACACGAGTAACGGGAGCAGCTGTTTCCGCTGCAGCAGCAGACAATCCGCCGCCACAGCAGCAACAGCATTTGCTGCTGAACCACGATGACGCGCAGCAGCCGAAGCAGCAGCAGAAGCAGCAGCAGCAGCCGAAGCACGCCGTGCAGGCGGAAAGCTTCAAGCGGCAGGTCCAGGAAGAGGAGCCGCCGCAGCAGCAGCCGCAGCCGCAGCAGCAGCAGCAGCGCGAAGATCCGCGGCCGGGTAAAGTGAGCAGCATAAACGGCTCTCCGTTCGAGCCGCAACAGGAGCCACAGGAGCAGCGGGAGCAGCCCGCAGAGCCGCAGCAGCAGCAGCAGCAGCCCTCCGCCGAGCCGCCGCAGCAGGAAGAGCCGCCGCAGCAGCAGCAGCAGCAGCAGCAGCACGTGCTGCCGCACAAAGCCCCGCCCGTTGAAGTGAAGCTCTTCGTCGGACGCGTGCCCCGCTCCGTCCAGGAGGAACAGCTGCGGCGGGTCTTTTCGGAGTTCGGACTTGTGACGGACTGTTTGGTGATAAGGGAGAAGAGTTCCAACAAACACCGCAACGGGGCCTTCGTCCGCATGAGTCCGCAAACCCTAAACCCTAAACCCTAGCCCTGGGTCCAAACGCGGCTCGGGGGCGGCCCCGCAAACCCGCAAACCCGCCGCACGCAGCCGTTAGACTAGTGGGCAGCACCGGGCGGTCCGCGCACATGCGTAGGCCGCCGTTCGCAGGGTTTAGGGTTTAGGGTTTAGGGTTTAGGGTTCAGGGTTTAGGGTTTGGGGTTTCGGTTGGCTCCTTCTGCGGGGGCTTCGAGCTGCGTGTTTCTGGCGAGCGCGGGGCTCCCTCCCCAGGGAAACTGAACGTGGCTGCGTGCGCGGGGGCTGAGCTGTCCAGGGTTTAGGGGTTAGGGTTTAGGGTTTAGGGTTTGTGTTTGGCAGGCTCGCTGGCGTTTGCGGACGCGGCGATTCGGGCGCTGCACGGAGTGCTGTCGCTGGAGGAGGGCTCCGGGCCCATTGCGGTGAAGTATGCAGCAGGAGAAGCAGAAAGACTGGGACTTGCTGCTGCTGCTGCTGACGGGGGAGTTGACAAGGCGAAGCTGTTTGTGGGGTCGATCCCGCGGACTGCAGCAGAAGAGGAGCTGCGGGCGTTCTTCAGCGCCTACGGCTCTGTGGAGGAGGTGTTCATACTGCGGGACAGCAGCAGCGGGGGCAGCAGCAAAGGCTGCGCCTTCATCAAGTACAAGTACAAGGAAGAAGCTCTTTTTGCAATTAAATCTCTTTCTGGAAAACACACTTTCCGGGGCTGTTCGCGGCCCGTGGACGTGCGTTTCGCCGAGACCAAGGTCAAGCAGCAGCCCCCGCCCCAGCTGCTGCAGCAGCTCCAGCAGCAGCAGCAGCTCCAGCAGCAGCAGCAGCAGCAGCTCCTCCTGCAGCAGCAGCGCCTGTCCCCCGTCGCCGCCGCAGCAGCAGCAGCAGCCAAAAACTTCAACCCCAGACAAGCCGGCCCCTGGAGAGAATACTTCACTGCAGACTGCATGCCTTATTACCACAATGCAGCAGAAAACGTCACAACTTGGCAGAAGCCGCCGGAGTTCGACGTGCTGTGCAGCTGCAGCGCGGGCTGCAGCAGCAGCAGCAGCAGGGGCGGCTTCCTCCAAATTGGCAGCGAACCCACAGGGCCCCCAGGCGCCAACATCTTCGTCTTCCATATTCCTAAAGATTGGGGAAGGCAGCAGCTGCTGAGTGCCTTTGGGGGCTTCGGAGCTGTTGTGTCTTGTTATGTTGCACTGGACAAAGAAAGCGGCAGAAACAAAGGCTTCGGCTTCGTGTCTTACACCACTCCTGCTGCTGCTGCTGCTGCTGTCAACGCCATGAACAACTGCCTCGTCAGCAACAAACGCCTCAACGTTTCCATTAAAAAGGGCGAGGAAAGACACGCGGCCATGCATCTCATTTCCCCTGCTGCTGCGCAGCAGCCCACCAAGCGCCAGCAGCAGCAGCAGCACCAGCAGCAGCAGCACCAGCAGCAACTGCAGCAGCACATGCCCCAGTCGCCCCTGCCGCAGCAGCAGCAGCCCCAGAGGTTCAACGTCCATGCGGCAGCCACGCCCCTGCAGCAGCCGCAGCAGCTCCACGAAAGCCTTCAGGACCCTGCAGCAGCAACAGCAGTGCAGTCCCCAGCAGCACCCCCAGCAGCAGCAGCAGCAGCAGGGTATACTGCGCAGCCGGCGTCACCCTACGCAGCCCAAACCGACCACACCTTCCCAAGCTGCTAAGGCCTGCAGCAGCTGCAGCAAATGCTGCTGCCCGCAGTGTCTGCTGCAGCTGCTGCTGCGGACCCCGCAGAACGACCCAGCTCCACCTGAAACAGTCTTCATGTGCCTTTCTTTGTCCGCCAGCTGCAGCAGCAGCAGCAGCAGCAGCAGCGGCGGCGTACAAAGGGGGACGGCAGCGACACCCACAGAATTCTTGGCTGCAGCAGCAGCCAGGAGACGCAGAAGGGCTTCAGTGCTGCTGCAGCTCTTTGGCAGAGCAGCAGCGCCATAGCCCCAAGTGCTCTCCTGTCCACTACAGCGGTGGCAGCAGCAGCAGGTACTGCAGCAGCAGCAGCAGCTTCAGCAGCTGTAGCAGCAGCAGCAGCAGCAGCAGCTACGCCCTTACCGACCCTCAACAGCTTCCGCTTGCTTTGGACCTTCACTCGCCTTCACCTCAAGCCAGCTTCCGCACCACCGCAGCAGTATTGGCGGCAGCAGCAGCGACCGCAGCAGCAGCAGCAGCAACCGCAGCAGCAGCAGCAGCAGCGGCAGGAAGGCTTTAGAGCCCCGCAGCTGCTGCGCCGACACCGCGGAGTGGCCCCCCTTCAGCGGTAGAGAGCGTGCATCGTTTCTGGCGCTTCTGTTTCCTGCTGCTGCTGCTGCAGCAGCAGCAGCAGGAAACAATACAGCGATGTTTGCGCCCCCGCCGGGGTATCTTTGATTTGGAACAGCGAGGAAGATCGCGAGGGGGTGTCTGCGAAGACACCCGAACAGCAGCAGCAGCAGAAGCAGCCAAACGCAGGCTAGGCAGCGATAAAGGGGCAAAAAGTGTTGCAGCAGCACTAGTAGCAGCAGCAGCAAAACAGCCCAGGCAGCGACTACAAGAGAAACAGCGGCAGCGTCATCCTCAACACCGCAGCGCCAAGGCAGCGTCAACTGCTGCAGCGGCACTGTTTCCTGCAGCAGCAGCAGCTGCTGCTGCAGCAGCAGCAGCAGTTCCTTCTGCATCGGTAGCAGCTGACACTGCAGGGTCAGCAGCAAAATCATCTACTGCACGATCGGCAGCGTTCTCAGCAGCAGCAACAGCGCCACTGCAGCATCAGGAACAGAAACTACTGCAGCAGCAGCAGCAAGAGCCTCACTGCAGCAGTAGCAACAGCGTCATCAGCAGCAGCACAAGCCTGTGCTGCCGCAGCAGTAACGGTGTCGCTGCAGTAGCGACAGCGATACTGGAGCAGCAGCAGCGTCTCTGCAGCAGTAGCACAAGAATCTACTGCAGCAGAAACAAGAGAGTCGCTGCAGCAGTAGCACAAGCATGTGCTGCGGCAGCAGCAACAGCGTCACTGCAGCGGCAGCAACAGTGTCGAATCCAGCAGCCACATCAAGAGCGCCACAGCCGAAGCAGCAACGGATTTTGCTGCTGCGTGAGCAGCAGCAAGGGGGTTGCTGCAGGCGCAGAAAGAGCGCGTGCTGTGGCGGCTGCACAACTAACAGCGTCGGCAACAGCAGCAGCAGCGGCAGCAGCAGCAGCTGCTGCTGCTGCTGCAGCCGAAGCCAAACTCACAGCGACAACACAGCGTTTTCCCGTTGCTCCTTATTTTATGGGCACCCAGCTTGGGTCCAAACCGCAGCAGCAACTCAAGCTAAAGAGCTGCGGGGGTGAACCTTTAATAAACTAGGGTCCCGGGTTTGCTGGGCCCGCGACAAGCTGTTTGCTGCTGCTGGTCCTGCGAGAGCAGCAGCAGGAGCAGCAGCAGCAGCAGTAGCTGAGGAGGCTCCAACGGAGCCCCTCGAAGCAAATGGAGCAGCTGCCCCCAGCTGCTCCGCTAGACTGATCCGGGCAAGGCACACCTAAGCCATTTTGGGGTGTCTTTTTAGGACAGAAGCAGCAAGGCTTTGCTGCTGCTGCTGCTCAGTAGCAGCAAGGCTTCCTCGCTGCTGCTGCTCAGCAGCAGCGAGCGGCTGCCTTCCGTGAGTATGCTTACTGGCACCACCCACTGCAGCAACGCCTGCGGCAGCCGCTGCAGCAGCAGCAGCTGCAGCAGCGCCCGCAGCAGCAGCAGCTGCAGCAGCGCCTGCTGCAGCAGCAGCAGCGCCAGCAGCAGCAGCTGCTGCAGCAGCAGCAGCGCGCAGTAGGCAGGGGGCTGTGCAGGGGATAGCTAGTTAAGAATGAGAATAATAAGAAAACGCAGTTGTGGGCAAATTGCGGCGAGCTGCTGCTCTTAAGAGACAAACAGAACCCCTATAAGAAATATCCTAGCTAGGCAGTTTCGGGGCAGCCGAGCGTAGCTGCAGTACAGCTTCTAGACGCTGCAGCAGCCGCTGCAGCAGCAGCAACTGCTGCTGCTGCTGCTGCAGCGGGGGAACGACGCACTGGGCGGCGCCCTTCAGAGCCAGCGCTGCAGCAGGTGCCAGCGGCGGCGGTCTGGGTCTGCAGACAGCCCCGTGGGGGCGAGCAAACCCTTAACCCTAAACCCTAGACAGTTGAGAGGCACGCAGGCTACATGGGGCCCCGTCTTTCTGCGGCCCCTGTCCCACCTTCAGCTCTCACTAGCTTTGCCTATTCACTCGAAGCTGCAGCACTTTAGTGTCTTTTGTTTACGCTGCTACTGCTGCGTTGCTGCTGCTGCTGCTTCTGTGGGCCTCTGCGTCTCTGGGTTCTCTTGACCCGCAGCCCGCTGTTTCCCGCTGCAGCTATCGCAGCAGCAGGATTTGCTTCTGCTGCTGCTGCGGCGGCGGCGGGGGTCCCCGCGTCTAACCGCTGCAGCGGCGCTGCAGCAGGCTGCCTTAAACCTTCCTAGGCTCTGGCCCCCAGCAGCATTTCTGGTGTGGCTTTTGCTGCTGTGCTGCTGCTGCCTGTCTTTCTGGCTTTCGTTCTGAGCTTTTGTCTCTGGGAGCATTCCATTTGCCCAGAAGTGCTGAGTGCAGCAGCAAGAGGCCCTTTTGGAACCCTTTGCTGCTGCTTTGCTGCTGCAGCTGTTCCCCCTGCAGCCGCTGCAGGGGCCGCAAGCTCTTCTGCGGGGCGCTGGGGAAACTTCGCTGCAAAAAGAGAACTTTAGAATTGATTTTGTGGGGAAACTGCAGCAGATTCAAACACAGTGTTCGCAGCTGGGATCGATCGATCCCAGCGGAGGGTCACTGCTGCTCGCTAGCTGCTGCCTGTCTGCCTCAGCTGGCCGCAGCAGCTGGGGTGTATGTACACCTGAATTCGACATTAAACAAAAATTAATAAAACTTCCAGAGCCGCGAATTCCCTTAACCCCCGTCTCGTGGGGGCCCCTCGGGGCCAGAGGGTCACCTCCGGAGCGAGCAGAGCTGTTTAGTTTACATTATTTTCTTTATTTTGTTTTGCAAACTCCGACTTCGACCGAAATAACAATTATCAACTCCTTCTGCTCTCCCGATTGCGGGGAATCCTGAAAACTGGAGAATCTGGAATGGTGAGCCCAAGCGACCAATGGGGCGTCGCGGTGTGGGGCCCCTCCTGCTGCAGCTGCTGCAGCCGCTGCCCGCTGCTGTGCCCTTTTGGCTCTCCGGGCTGCAGCAGGTGGCCCTGAGCCTGCTGCTGCTGCTCAGAGACAGCAGCAGGAGGGGCCCCGGGGACCCCGAAACCAGCTGGGGGCACACCCATTACCTTAGCGTCTTCCTCGCCGTCGATATAGCCCTAGGTGAGGATCCTCCTGCAATTAAGTGTAGCAGCGGCGGCGGCAGCAGCAGCAGCAGCAGCAGCGGGGCCAAGTGCAGCCGCAGCGGATATGGCATAATATAATCACATGCAATTCGATGTATGAGCCCCTTCAATACCATAATAAAAACAAGTGCATATAGATACATATATATATGTATGTATGCAGATAAATATATATATATATTCTATATATATATATATATATATGCACCTGCTCTTATTGTGGCATTGAAGGAGCTTATAAGTCGAATTGCATGCGCGCGAATTACGTTGAAAAGTCGCATTTTCTTTAGAAGATTTGAAATCGCGTTTGCATCAAGAAGCACAAAGCTGGCGTCTGCTGCGTCTGCCATTTGCTGCTGCTGCTGCTGCTGCGCAGGCCTGTTTGTGTCTTTGCTTCCTACAGTGGCTGCGAAAGACCGACTGGGGCCCCTCTGCTCGCTGCAGTGGCTGCTGCACTGCTGCCTTTTGGCAGTGAAGCTGGCTGCATGCCCCTTTGTCTGGGGCATTTGGGGGGCCCCCCAAATGGCCCCCAAGACCCACCGCTTTGAGGCCCTTTATCTTATCTTCTCGAGTGCAGACAGAGCAAGTGAGGCTGGCGCAGCTTGCGCAGCAGCTGTACGTACACCTGAACCCCACACCCCAGCCCCTCCACCCCACGCTGCCGAGGCCCGCTTCTGCTGCTGCTGCTGCTGCTGCTGCTGCGCTGCTTCCGCAGCTGTTTACCTGGCGAGCTGCTGCGTCTTCTTGACCCCCTTGGTGTTCCTGTCCTTCGTGGCCTGCTCCTACCTCTACTCCGAGGGGCCCCT